GTTCTCTTCTGTCTGCCAGCCCCATATCCAAGATGTCCCATGCGCTTTCAATAGTTTTGCAGGTTTTGACTTAGTGTGTTACCCATGATCCTTTTGGTTTTGGGTTTCGAAAAAATTTCATCTTTATCCTTACTATATTTCATCTTCAAGTGATTATGGCATAGAGTCTTCCACGTTTGGCCAAGTAGAACAATTAAATTTAGCCTACATCCTAAGGTTTCTGCTATTTTACTGCGATGACATTGATGAGGCTAATGCTCCCACGGTTTCTGCGATTTGAAGACAGTTGAGTTTTTTTGTTCCTTTTGATAGGTTAATTTCAGTTCTCTGGGTTTAGGATGTCTTCATTAGATCATTTGTCAGACCAAGTTCTAAGTTAGGTGTGGCTCAATTGGCTCTGTTCCTATTTGTTTGTGCAGCAGCAAAAAATTGAAAAAAAAAGGGAGAAGTGTAGAAGCCAGGGTCCTTAGCCTAATTTAGCCTGTAAGGAAGTTTTCCAGTCGCTAGCATCAACAGGTTAACTTGTAATGAATGAAGTTTGAGCCTCCCTCAACTAGTTGGTTGTTGGGGATAAATTGCTGGATACTTTTGTTTTTGTTTGGAAATTGGATAAATTTTAAGACTCATTCCAAGTAAGATTTGCTACGCCATATGAAGAACGTTATAATCTTTTTTTTTTACCTTTCAGAGGCACCACGGATATACCTCTCTCTAGGAGGAAAATATTTCATTGAAGGATCCCCTGTCACCGTAGCCTGTACAGCTTCTGGGAAACCACCGCCGGATGTAGCATGGATTAGACATGGAGTACTGGAAAGTTCAGGGAAGAAATCTGCGTCCTTAAAGTTCGATAATATAAACAGAAGAGATGCAGGACAATATACATGTCGAGCCAATAACTCAGTGGACGTCACTTCCATTGACACAAAAATTGTAGTTTACTGTAAGTATATTTTAACCTTAATTTTCTATTTCTGAATTTACTTTATTTACAGTGCCACTCCTGTTAATGAGGTTCAGGTACACAAAACTGACGAATCTGTTCAAAACTGTAAGGAAACTGAATTTCACCTCAATCCTTTTCGGCTTTGTATGCGTTGGTTCCAAGTCTTGGTTGGGACAATTGAATCTAGGTGGAATCATTGATTACATCATTTTGCTTCGGAGGACGTAACAATTGTTTTAGCAACCCATTGCACCACTAAGACTTGTGTTTAAATGTAACACAGAAAATGGCTAAAAGCCATTTCCGAGTCATTGTAACAACCCAAATTCACTCCGTTTGACAAGCGCACAAGGCTAGCGCATATTCTGATTCTGTGTGAGGACTTTTGGTTGGTCATTAAGAAAATTACATCAGACATGTTTTCTTGGAGTATACCACATATTTAAAACATGACCTGTTACAACTGAAAGTTCACTGGAAACCCAGTTTAGTAGGGTCTACATTTCACCCCTTCATCATTCATTATTTACTTTTAGCGGCTCACAGCCCATTTGATTCATTCATGGGTATATGCATAACACGTCACCCTTTAATACATGGAAACAAGGTGCTATCCAATCTTTTAACTACTTTTGAAACATTTAACAACTGATAATGCCGAAACTATTCAGTTTTTACAAATGCAAATTGATGTCGTGTGGCCAACCACATGACCTTAAAGGAGTCAAAATAGCCGTTTAGAGCTGTTATAAGAATATCTATAGATCCTCTGTGGCTTAAATTTATCAAATATCCCTCAGTATTCTGCTATTATCTATGAAAGGGTGGTACAATCCACAGTTTCAGCCAAATATTTGCTTATTTAGCTTGAAAGCATCACCCAATTTCAAATATGATTTGACATGAAAAAGAGACTCACTTAGGTGATAACTGTTTGCGACCATTTCTTATGTTTTTATGAAAAGAAACTTCCGATTATATCATAAGCTCTTAATGGTAGAAGGCCAGCGATCCTCAACATCTGCAAATTATGTCACGACCAAGCATGTGACCTCCGAGGGGGCCTAAATTAAGGATTTTCAACAGAGTTTCTGCATGAGCAACAACGTTTTTATGTCTGATAACAACTAAAGTTGGCCTTTACAAATTGCTCATATTAATTAACAAAGGATTTAAAATAGCTTTTCTAGTAACGACATAGTTGGTGTGATTTTATTGCTGGAGTAATTCCATTGTTTTCCTTCGTGCAATTTGTGAGTTAAAGTATTCTGCTTTTAGTCAATATTCTAACCACTGGTGGATGACTTGCTGCAATTTTCCGTGACAAAAGCATTATATTTTGCTGACCAAGGCACTCCACCGATTGATACTAGATTAACCCACATACAAGATTAACTCTTCTTGTTGCACAATTATGCACCCTCTATACTTTTACGAGGGGTTATGATTTAGAACTGGGGGGAATGTATGAGCCATGAAATAAACAGGGATTAAGATTTTGATTTGATTTACATTTTTAGACAGACCCGAAGGTGCAAGGCTCACTACCAATGCTTCACAAAATACCATCACTGAAGGAGACACAGTTACATTCAAGTGCAAAGTTATGGCTGCTGTGCCTCAAGTGTCAATTTACAAGTTCTATTTCAATGGCGGCATCCTGAGTGGGAACAGTAACAGTGAGTATACCCTCAACAACGTCAATCGATCTCAGCACTATGGCGACTACCAATGTGTCCCACACAATGACGCTGGAGATGGAGCAGGAGCAACTGTGAGACTGAACGTAAATGGTGGGTAGGAACAGCTTTGAGCATTTCTGAGTATTATGGCAGATGTTGTGTGGCTTCACAGACATTTTTGCGGTGCTGAGGAGGCGTTTTCCTTGCAAGCATCACTCAGCTTGCCACACAATGCTCCTTTCCAAGGTACTTGGAAAAATGCTGATGAAGGATGCTTGTCTTGAAAAATTTAACCAGTGCCTCATAATAAATGGGTACTTAATAACAAAATTTGTGCCTGATGATAGTGAACTTACGCCTAATAATAATAATGGACTTATGCCTAATAACGATGGTGCTTGATGCTACTCTGGTTTACAGATTTAATGAATGTAATCGAAGTTACAATTCATAGACCAAATGTTTCGACACTCCTGTCTAGTGCCTTCATCAGGGGTAATCTAAACGCTGCAACAAGAGTGATTGGTTCGGTTCGTTGTTCTTTCGGGACAGGATCCTCAGGTTTTGCGAAAATATGCCCCAAAGTCTGAAAAGGTTTTTGAGCAACTTTAACGTTTTGGCTATTCAAAATTCTCTTGATGGGTTCCGTAACACCCGGTATGTAAGGAATAACAGCAAAACCATTCGCTGGTTCCCTTTCATCAGGAGTGCTACCAGTTGTAACTGGTTTTTGGTAGTTACGGAGAAAGGTTTTTGTATAGCCATTTGCCTTTAGGACATTAGAAACATATTTCCTCTCCTCAGCCTTCGAATCGAGTGAAGATGGTAGACAGTCAGCCCTCCTGAGTAAAGTTTTGGCTACAGTATTTTTATGGAAAAAAGGGTGGTGAGAATCGAAAGCGAGGTATTTGTCGGTGTGGGTAGGTTTACGGTAGACACTTGTCTCTAAATTACCCTGAACCCCTCTAGGCACATTTAAATCAAGAAAGGACAAATGTCTATCCTTTTCACGCTCAAGGGTGATTTGGATAGACAGCTCTACTGAATCCAAATGCGATAGGAGGCGCTCCGCTTCATTTCCGGATACCGCAGAAATAACATCATCGACATATCGTTTCCAGAAAAAGGGTTTTACGAGTGAGGTAGCTAAGGCCCTTTGTTCCACGTCTTCCATTACCATGTTGGCAATGACAGCAGAGACGAGCGAACCCATAGCTGTAACAAAAACTTGTTCATAGTAGGTGCCGTTGTATGCAAATTTCGTGGTTTTGAGGCAAAAAGACAGCCATAAAGAAAGCCACAACGTTAAAGTTGCTCAAGAACCATTTCAGACTTCGGGGCTTATTTTCGCCAAACCTATTCCTCGCAATGACTGTGACGACGAATACATCGCACAAACCAAACGTCAGTTTGGTACACGTTTGAAAAAGCATCAAAAAGCGGTTTTCTTTTGCAAGAAAATTCAGCTTTATCGGAACACACATGCCCAACTAACCATACAATTGGGTGGGATACTTCTAAAAATTATCGCCACTAATCGGCGTTACCACCAGCGCCTTTGTTTGGAAGCTTGGCATATTAACTCCGCCCACGCTCCTTTAAATCGTGATGATGGCGGCTTACTTCTTGACACCTATTTACACCTCGTCAGAAAAAAGGCAGCTAATTAGTGATCATATCAAAGGACCACTTGTTGCAGGCACCAAACCATGTCTGATTGTCCACCTGCTTACCGTGTGAACTTAATATATTTTAATGATGAACTTGTGCTTAGCAATGATGAACAGGTGCCTAATGATAAAAACCAATACCTGATCATGATGAACTTGTTCCTAATAATAAGGAAACAAACCTAACAATGATTCACAAGGGCATAATAGAAACAAAGTAATGATTTGGTTGAAATGACACCCTATGGTTACCCTAGATTGTTTTCAGACATAAGAAGTCTGTAAGTTTCTGTAGCTTTTTGGGAGCCTTAACAAGATTGTACTTTTAATTGTGTAGCAGAATACCTGGAATTTAGCTACAAGTTTGAGATTAACCCTTGATCTGATTACATTTTTTTGGTAAAAAAAGAAAAACAAAACAAAACAAAACATCATTCCAAAGCAATTATCCTGTGTCCGCTAAAAACTGTAAACTTATGGATTTCATTACAGTATTTCAAAACTGATGCAAATTCTGATTAGCTGACATGATAATAGTTTGTTTCCTTTTTTAGATATTGTTCTGATACATATGCCATATTTTATAATCTTATTTCTATAGCGTATGAAGTGGATGGTTTTGAACCAAATCGCACTCTAATGCTGTGGAGTGAAAATTTTGTTGTTCCTCTCTTTTGCCCAGTTCCCGTCCAGTTTACAGAAATGCCACAGAATATAACAGTTAATACGTCTACCCCTCTGGTTTTGAATTGTGATGCGACGGGTTTTCCTGAACCTAAGATAAGATGGGAAAAATCTGGGATTCATTTGTGTGGCACCAAACAGCTGAAAATCTCCAGTATTAACACGAACGATGCTGGAGAATATATTTGTATCGCAAGCAATGGAGTAAGACAGGAAAAGACAGTAAGAGCTTATGTCACCGTGCAATGTAAGTCTCTTTTTCAGCATTTCATAAAACGCTGCTACTGCTGCTGAATCTATGATACATTCCAACCTATATTTAACAGCACCATATTAAATGGTCACCCTAAATGTAGTTTTCAAAGTACCTTTTTTTTTCCTTAAATTGATGCAATTTTGAAAAAAAAGAAAAATTGTGTATACTTTCAAACTGCAACATTTTAGAAAACCAGTATATTCATATAAACATGTATAAATTTTACCAAAACATACCCAAAAAGACAACAAACTCAAAGTCAATATCCAAGAAAAAACCCTTTCAAATTCAAAATTTCCCCAACCTCACCCAACTCTTAGCCAAAATGATCTGGTCTTCTAGGAGGGATGCTACAAAGCATGGCTTCTGACTATGAATTGATGGACAAAGACGAAACCAATCCAGCCTAATAAGAACTCAACTCAAAAAGAAATTTCCCCCTGGGCTTTCCATACAACTAACATTTGCATCTCACCCTAGAAGAGGGTGGTGGTTGAGCTGTATGCTAAGGTTAAGCCCCCTGCATTTTCTTTAGCAAGGCTAGCTTGAAGGTGTACATTGAAAACCTAGTCATCAGGTTTTTTGCACCCCTTCCTAAGCCTGCTGATTTGGACTTTCAACCACCCTCCAATCACAGAGTGTTCATCCACTAGCTGAGCTTTAGCAGGGGATAAACCGAGTGTCAATCTTGTAACATACATGTTGTAAGCATGTTGGAAATCCAATCAAATATATACATATATGTATATATATATATCTATGTTCATACAGTTCAAAGTGACTAAAATGAAACACGCATGATTCCCTGTAAATTTGAGTTTCGTGCTCACGCACTCGTCAGACAGATTTAATGGCGTCTGACGAGTCTAATGTCTGACGAGTGCGTAAGCACGAAACTCAGTGTTACAGGGAATCATGCGTGTTTCATTTTAGTCATTTTGAACTGTATTTCGCTCTACACTCATGTGTATTGAGCACTTTCCAACAGCATTCGCTACTATTTCCCACAATTATATATGTACACACATACATAATTATCTTGTTAGACGTTTTGGTCTGTAGTTTTACGCGTTGTGCCATGTTTTGACAAGCGTGAAGGGCAGGTTAAGTAAAAATACTCATCGATTCTACACACCAAAACATCTAGTCAGTAATTTATTATGCAACTGTTTTATTTTATGTACATTTCTTATCAGGTAGGAAAAGCTTAGCAGATAGAGAAGCATAGGAAGCATAACCGACCAGTTGAACAGGTTTCATTACTGTACAAAACAAAAAGCTTTCTGACAATGGCGAGATTTTTAAACTCGATTTGTGCATTATTTGTACTCTAAGCGCAGTGGGATAGTAAATATATGTTTTTCACCAGCCGGGAGTTCCCATTGGGAAGTCTTTAGTACCACCATCGGCCAGGGCAGCACTCAAAATAGAGACACCAGACACGGTTTTTCCCAATTCAGACCGACCTAAGCTAGTGAATAACATTTTAATTTTTCTTGAAGTGAAAAAGATGCTTGCCAAAAGAACCCGAATTATTGAGGGCTGTAATTACGGAAAGATCTTCCATAAACTGAAAAATCTTTTAGCAGGTTAATGGGAGTTAAAACAGATGTAATGCAAATTGGAGAGAAAGGCTTCGCTCTTTTCACAATAGAACCAAATTCATGAAGTTTGTTTGCATCACACTTAAGCGGTCCGTAATTTCTTAAAAGTTTGACGGGAAAATATTGTCAAAATCAAATTACCGCGTCAGAATTCTTGTAAACATGAACACCTTTGGCTCAACTTCAATTTATTTTACGGAAAGCCCATTACCCTAGTTCTTATGATAAATGCCCTCTTTTACGTTCCTCTCGCTGTTTTCATGCCCATTTTTTTCATGTCGTTTCTCGTTTTTTTATGTTTTTCCGATTCGCGCGCACCTATTACTACTTCTCTCCTTTTCCTGGCTACTTTCACTTACATCCGGTCACCACAAACAAATTAAAATTATATCTTCCAGTAGACATAGCTTAAACTATGAGTGTTGTTGCTTGCAAGTATCTTGATTAGAATTGCAAAATACTTATAATCAGGTTTTTTCTTATTTTTAATAATCAGTACTATTTTGGTCGTACGATCAAATTTCCCGGCTTGATTGGTTACTGTTACTGCTATAGTAACTACTATTGAATCAATGAAAGTCCCATTGACAAGTTTAATTTTTCTACCAAAAATTTATTTCTAAACCAATATTTTTCTGGCGTTTAAAGCGATTTGGGAAAGAGAGAGAAAAGAGAGGATTAATAAGTCATTTAGCAGCTTTACGTCGCGACCCGTTTTTCCTTAAAAAACAATGCACAGCCAGCAAAACCAGATTTATTTATGAAGAATGGTAACGAAGGTACGGATGACTCTGCGACTCACGGAAGTGTTACCGTGCCAGTGGGAAGAGATAGGAAAATTCGAACCGCGCTAAGTTCCCATTGGATTGCAGGATTCGTCACTCTGCCCTCTGAGAAAAAAAATGAATACAACTCATACTAGCTAGTTGCAAAGAAATTTTTCCTAGCCCTGAAGAGGCGAGAAAAAAATATGAGCAATGAGCAAATTTCAGCCCGTATTTTATGTTCAAACCATCGAATAACGAACTTTTTATTCCATTATCATTTTCAGGTTTTAGTATTTTAATTTTAGTATAGGAATTACATCCTACAGCCTTATCTGTGCAACGTATCGATCACATAAGGTGTATGCGAGAGACGAAAACAACTTGAACTAAACCCTTGAGGGTTCTTTGTGGTCTTTCCTCCTTTAAAGTTCGCTTCTTTAACAGTCAAATTTAAAAAGTAGACCAAAAAAGTTAAACTTTGGATAGTTCAGTGCGGCCAATATTCTGCTACGTATTTTTGCCTTGTTTTAGTATATGTGGCATATTATGCTATTAATGACACATTAGTGGAATGATAAGGCTCGTCAATGTTCTGATCGATACGAAGTATCACTAATTATTTATTCAATTGCTCATTACATTTTTATTTATTCTTAGACCCGCCCACAATTCAAAATGTGACCACGTCATCTAAGAAGTCTTGGATTGGCCAGACAGTGACTTTGAAGTGTCTTTCTGATGGTGTTCTTACACCAACACTCTCTTGGTACAAACCTGAAGGAAGTGAAATAAGCAGAGTCACAGCCAGAGAAAACGAAGTACAAGTGCCACTCAGGGGTGATGAAGATTTTGGTCATTACAAGTGCATTGCTGCCAATGGACTTATTCCATCCGATGAGAAATTAATAACGATAAATCAGATAAGTAAGTAAAAATTATCAGTGTGTTGTGATTAGAAGAAAACTAGACAGCATTTTATTTTGCGTTTACTCATTATCACTGTTTCAGGTGCAGTAGAAGTAAAAGCCACATTTTCTTACAAAGTACTCAACAGAGTAGCTCATTCCCTATGTACATCTCATCCGATAGTTTAACATATACCTTTGCTTGGTTCTTCTGTTGCTACTTGCCGGCTCGCTTGTTCCGAAATTTCACTTTCAATTATCGGAAAAAAGTTAAAAAGAAGTCCCGGAAAAGGTCGAACATAGTACAATTTGGCAGATGGCGTGACAGCTTTAGCTCAGCTCTATGCTCTATACTCTCATAGAGCACGCTCTTTCAACCAATGATAGCGTGCGTTATATGCGAACTTTATTATAATTTAACATATAATGTGTGCGGATATTTTGCAAGGCCCAGAGGTGTGTGGAAAAATATAAGGACATGTTAAACCATCGAATAAGGGATTTGTCATCCTACTATTCTTTCATTTCCTAATTTTGGCCGCTTAGTTTTCAACATACATCCTACGGCCTTATCTGAGCGTTCCGTTCGCATTTTTCCCCTCTTTAGAAGCGTTAGACCTTCACCTATTTTTCGCTTTCGTTACGCTAATGAGGTATAGCGGCGTAATAGTGGAATTATCCCCAATGTATTTTGCGTGATCTTTTAGTGGGCAATGCACCCATATTTGTTCAAACACGTTTGCAGAAAACTGTCGACACCTTACCCTTGGGTAGCATTAAACATGTTTAAACTTAGACTTGTGCCAGTTCTAACAGTGTTAAAAATGTTATCTGCTCGCCGTAGATAGACGACATCCCCCCATGCGAGTATCCATAACTTCCTCAACCATGGACTCTTAATTTTTCCTTTTTTTATCAGGCTCTTGGCAAATTTATCCGGTAGCTTCATGTATTTTCATTAAACTGTGATAATGCAAGGACTTGTATTCATCCTAAGTATTGTGACAAAACTCACTATGAGGTAATCACCAAAAAAAAATTTCTTCTTCCTTTTTTTTTTGCTCAAAATGATCCCTTTTTTATGGCACTATGTAGAGAAACCAGGGAAAGTATCCATCAAATCATCAGAATCACTCATTCAAGCAACTTTGATAATAATACGATGGAAAGCACCGGCTGATGATGGAGGAAGTCCCATTACAGGATACCGACTGATCTTACAAAAGGGTGAAACTGAGATAGAAAATAATGATATCACCGACCCTGGGACGATAACTTATTCGTTTCGTGGTTTGGAGAAAGATACCACCTACACGGTGAAACTGTTTTCTAGAAATTTTGTATTCGAGGGAGATCCTACTGTATGGAAAATTAGCACCCTATTTGAAGGTGAGGAAACGCAAATGATTTCGTGACTGAGCACTTTACACCAATCATTTTTTTGCCAACTTAGATTTGTGCCAGTTTTAACAATGTTATCTACTCGCCGCAGATTGACGACATCCTCCCATGCGATTATCGATAACTTTATTAAAAGATTTTAAATGCTTGCCTACTTCTTAGTGGCCAGTTTCCTTTCCCTCTCTAATGGTTGTTTGAGAGGTAACTACGTTTTAAGAAGCAGAATAATTAATAAACCACAGGTGAAAGTAGGTGAGATGAGAAAACCAACTTAACGGATTCCGTTTCATACACTACGCTGACCTTTCATTTCAAATAACCTTACGTTGGCCCTTTTTCTGTTGTCAAGTAAAAAAGGGTTCGCCACTTTGCTAAGCGTTATTGTAATGACGTACATACTAAGTTGGTTTTTTCATCTTTTGAAAAAGGGATATATGTTTGGTGTGAAAGACCCTTTGCCTCGTGGGCCCCATCCCCCGTGCGTGTGTAGTTTACAAGTTTTTATGTACAGGCTGTAATGCCTACTATGTCGGCGAATCCTCTCGGCATTTATCCACACGTGTGCGTGAGCCTTGGTCAGTGATAAGAACTCTCACATTTTCAGACATTTACAAAATTCTCGACAATGTCGCACTCTATGTTCTGATGAATGTTTTAGCACCTTAGATCACGCTTCCACAACTCTCCAACTTAAAATCAAAGAAGCTATTCACATTCAGTGAGGGCAAGCTAAACTTAATCATCAACTTTATCATGTTAATTTAAAACTTTCTTTGTAATTGCATACATTGTTCTGTTTCCATTGTTTGTTTTATCCAATCAGGAGTTTGTTATACACTTTAAATTCAACTTTGTATTTTGTATACATTAGAACTTCAGACAGCAGAAGAACTGTCGAAACATTTTTAAAAAATGTCATATATCTTCTTAAACCAATTATCTCTTCTGACAGTCAGGCGATTTAATCACTGATAATGGTTGTGACCAGATTTGTAACAAGAAGTTGGATAATTATTACAAATTTCACAGTATTTGTGTTGTTGACATCAATCTAGGAGCCCCAGATGTGGTTGAGATAGACGAACTGCCAAGTGAAACAACAGACAATAAAATTACCCTAAAGTGGAAAGAGCCAAAAAGTAATGGAAAAGTTATCACCATGTATACAGTGTACCTAAGAGTGATGACTGATGGGAAAGTGGGACAGTGGACAGAAATACGGAAAATCAGAGATGTCTCTGTGAGAGAATTGAAAATAGCGTTGGAGAGAGGAAAGGTGTATCAGTTTGCCGTTACCGCAACTAATGAGCTTGGTGAAAGCCTAAAACAAGAGGAAGCAAATATGCAGCAAATCAAGGCAGAGGGAAGTATGTTCAAATGAATCTTACTTTCCCCTTTCGTCGGTTAATCATTTTCTTTACTTAGTTTTCAAGCACTCTCCGTGTCATCAACATCGAGGTTTTTAAGGGTGAATTCTTCACTTGAAAAAAAAACCTGAATCAATGAGAAAGATTTTACCTTTGGCTGGTGTACGAGAAGTTGTTTTGCAGTGTATTTTGTTACTAAATTTCAGTTAACAGGTTAACTAGATAATAATAGTTAAACGGCGGCAATTACACTTACAGCTGATGGCTGTGTGAATAATATCAAATTCAGAAATTACATTCCTATTCGAGATTTGTTTATAATGACAAGGAATTGACCCCTGACATGCAAACGCATTGCAAAGAGACAGAGTCATCCACCAAGAGTAAATAGGGGGGCTGGACTCTGGATCGTAGCATTGATCATTGTATCAGCACTACTTTCCCCACTAGAGAGAAACTCAAATATTTGTTAACCACAGTCAGTTACTTTCATTCAGCTCTAAAATAGAGTTTTTATCCCCACAGATGGCTCGGAAAGCACAGCAAAAGGTAAATTTTACAAAGAAATTGTTAAACGCATTGAAGTTCACAAAGCAACCAGGTGCATTATCAGGCATGATTTGATGCTACTCTAGTTTAAAGATTTAAGGAATGAAGTTACAACAAGTAATACTCCTGATGAGAAGGAAACAGCGACTGGTTTTGCTGTTATTCCATACATTCACGGTGTTTCGGAAGATATCAAGAGAATTTTGAATAGCCACAACATTTATATTGCTCAAAAACCTTTTCAGATTTGGGGCATATTTTATTGTCAAACCTAAGGATCCTATCACAAATGAGCAACTAACTGAGACGCTTTTTATTCTATTCTGTGCAATGACAGCGATCACCATTATATAGGACAGACCAAACGTCAGTTTGGTACACATTTGAAAGAGCATCAAAAAGCGGCCTTCTTTTGTAAAAAAGAAAATTTAGCTTTGTCGGAGCACACATGCCTAACTAACCATACAATTGAGAAGGATAGTTCTAAAATTATCACCACTAATCCATGTTACCACCAGCACCTTTGTTTGGAAGCCTGGCATATTAACTCTGCCCACGCTCCTTAAATCGTGATGATGGCGGCTCACTACCTGACGCATATTTACACCTCGTTAGAAAAAAGGGCAGCTAACTAGTGAGCATGTAAAAGGACCTCTTGATGCAACGATTAGATCACCCTTGATGAAGGCACTAGACAGGAGTGTTGAAACGTTGGGTCTACGAATCGTAACTTGTCAGTTACTTTCAGTCCCTTTTACAGTTGCGTGCTTGGTTGCCAAGCCTTTGAACAGGAGTGAGTCTGAAGGTGACCTTGCTGCTTTTCAAATGCAAATGACTTTTTTAATCATGTAAACTAGGTACTAGTCTCCACCACAACATGGTCAACCTCAGCCTCACTCCAAATCAAAGGCTTGGCAGCTATGTATACAAGAGTAGCATCTAACCATGGTAAATTGTTAAATGTTTACACGTTTTCTTCCGAAAACGGACTTTTTCTAATTGTATTCCGTATCTGTTTAATTAAACAACTCATTCCTATGTGTGATATATTTCCAGGTTTTTGTTTTTGTCGTTGTTGTTGTTTTTAGTCAATTAAACAAAATCTTACTTTTAGAAATTATAATAGAAAGAGTAGCACTTTACTTTTCCTTCGTACCTAACCAATGAGACTTATTTTTTCGGTCATGAGCCTAAGCTATGAAATGAGAGCAGTTTATCGACCAGGATCAGTGTAAATGTTGTTTGAATGTTACTTGATCAAGCTTTGCAAAATGAATCATTCTAGGTCCTGAGGAATGTAACTGCCCATCTAACAACGTCTTGTTAGCCATAATTGGGGTTCTTGCCTTCACAATCCATCTTCTAATTTTTTACATAATCTGGCTACATAAGAAAGGTAGGTAAAAAATCATAAGCTATGTTAGAGGATTTGGCTGCAAGATTCATTTTTAACCAAAATTTTGACGCACATCCACATCATTTGTCTTTTTTTCCTTTCATCCGTTTTCAGGCGCTGTAGGGAAACAGAGGTAAGAATTTACTGGCACTTGGATTGTGTCGATGTAATATGCCCGATATGGTTTCATCTTAACACAAAATTCCACTTGAAGCTGATTAGAACTTTTCGTATGCTTCCTCAATTGTAGGAATTATGCAGATGAAGGAGATGTTTACGACGTAAGTAACAGTTAAGACATTGTGGTTATGTTAGCGTGGCCAGAAACTATGTTATCTCACTTTATCTCTACTTTCTACGAGAAAATAAACCCTTGCAGAAAATAAGAAGGGGAAAAGGTGTAGTTCTACGAAACAAAAGCATGTTGCATTAGTGGAAGATACAATGATACAAGGAAGGAAGTTAGACTAAATAAGGTCTTTGTCCTAGGATCCTGTCCTTTACCAAGCTACTTTAAAGATTTTCCTTCCACTGTCCCTGATGATGATACTTTCAAAAGCAGAGAACAAAATGTTAGTAATAATGAGGACAAAAGAGATTATGAAGCTTTTGTTATCTTTTGTTATACAAGAATGTAAAGGTTTGTCTGATGAAAATGGGTAAACTGATTTTTATAACCATGTGGAACTTTTTAATGGGATTAATAGCAGATTTGTATATTAATACCTTAACGGTATTTCGATTTAATAGAATGAAACAGGATTAGAAGATATCGAACCAAGTGTACCCGTTTCCAGAAAACTCACTCAGCCTCCTGCGGAATACATGGATCTCATGGAAGTCAACAAGGATGATAGAAAAGCACAAAGAACAGCTCCAAGTGCTGATTACGTGCCCCTTCATCCGTTAACACGCTGCTGGGAAGTTCCAAGACATAACGTGACCATAGAAAAAATCATTAGTAAAGGTGCTTTTGGTCAGGTTGCCAAGGGAACAGCAGTAGGACTTCGAGGAAGTCCTGAAACGACCACAGTGGCTATTAAAATGCTGAAAGGTGAGCTTTTGTACCGTAAATTGAATGAAAGTCTTGACCTACAGCCATTCAGGAAATGTTATTGGGTTACCGTATTTTTTTAGCGATTTGCCATTTCATAACGAGTGTTATTATTTCGGAATTTTGCATAATCTCCCCATTAACCAAATTTTACTTTTTTAACGCTCCAGGAAACGCTACTGAATCGGACAAGAGAGATTTGATGAAAGAACTTGACACAATGAAGCAGCTGAAACCACATCCTTACGTCATTAAACTTCTGGGATGTGTTACAGTATCAGGTACGCTTTGGCTATGGGGTCTAATTTTGTTGTACACATTTTGCATCTGATTCACTCTGTAACATTTTCTCGTCAATGGAAAAGTCACTGCTTCACAACTGAGCACAACAAACAACCACCGCATAAGTTAATTTTATCTTTTTTCAGCCAACATAGACGCTCCTAGATCTGCTGATAGACTAAGACAGAATATTTGCCACTGAACAGACCATTCTATTGTGTGAACAGAAACGCGTTTTGTAGGGGAATATTTGGTCTGTAACTTCTTATGAGACCGTTACATAGTTTTTCAGCTTTGCTTCGTAAAACCACATCTTATTTTCGTGCGATTTCTTTAAAAGTATTGAGCATGACTGGGCTATTCATTTATTTTCTTTACTGCTAAGTTTTTTAGAGAGGGAGTAATATATCAATTAAATTGTGTAATTTCTTTAGAAGAACTACTGGTTTTGATTGAATATGTGCCTTGTGGGGATCTGCTGGGTTACCTGAGAAAGAGCCGTGGATTAAAAGACACTTACTACAAAGATCAGGATATCAAACCACAAACAAATCTGACGTCACAGCAGCTGATGAGGTTTGCTTGGCAAATTGCTGATGGAATGAGTTACTTGACCTCAAAATCTGTAAGTCAATTGAAAAAGAAACTCTAAAGCCTACTTGTAAGGTGTATCGTCATGTTAAGCTTTATCTTGCATAGAATGTTATGTCTTTACAAGATCACGCTCGGGAGATGCAAACGTATTCTTACCGTCTTGATGACGTTTTTTTTTTGTTATGACCGAGAACCCTCACAACTTTGATTTCATCATCTAAGTTTTATTTCAATATGCGAATGGTGATGTTTGTGAATCGTTGTAAGTGCACCCCATCGAAATATAATATCTGGGTTTTTCTTGTGAACGCGAAGGCAGAGACGTGAATGAATAAAATCTATTGAGATATTGAGCCTAGTGAACTGAGTGTACAACAAATATCCATTTAGTGACAAGGAAGAGAAGGAATTAAAACTTGAAATTTATAAATTCGTCTTAAACTGCTACATTACAGAACCCTATTTCGATTAAAATCTTACGATAAGCGTTCTACGAAATAACTACGTATTGCACAAATAAAGTAGTTTGCTTCTCTCTGGAAAATGAGACAGTAATAATAGTGAATTTAATTTTCTTTCATCTGGAAGAAAGAGAAATACACACACACTATTATGTTGTTCAACATTTCTAATTTCTTAAGTGAACCAATTCATTTCAGTTCTTTTTCTTCTGCAGCCGCTAATTCTTGCTGTTGCATCAATTCTTTCTTAGATCATTCACCGAGACCTTGCAGCCCGCAATATTTTGGTTGGACAAAAGGAAACGTGTAAAGTGACAAACTTCGGAATGGCCAGAGATGTGCAGCAGGAAAATATTTATGAACGAAAGACTAAGGTAATCAAGAACAATGGAGGTGGGGGCAGTAATTCATATCGTTCAGTTTTGTGATCTTTCACAATCATTGTTGTGGTAAAGCTGATATGTTCCTGATTTTGATCATGAATTCCTTGGGTGGGACCCTAATGAAAATATTAGCTGTGCATATACGAGTACAACTTTAAAAATCACTCTCTTGGACTAGTCGTTACCTATAATTTTTGAACTGTTTCACTAGGTGATATTTGAAATCTTTAGGGCCGTATTCCCGTGAAGTGGACAGCTTATGAGGCCTTGTTGTATGGTAAATATACCACCAAAAGTGACGTGTAAGTATAACTGATTATTACCAGTGGCAATTTTCCAACAAGGTTTATCAATGTTAATCAGGACATGAATTCTATGCTCTGTCAAAGAATACGTATATATATTTTATTCGTCGTTTATATTGTTTATGTCTACAGTCACTTAATTTATATTCGTTTGATTTGTCTTTCTGCAGATGGAGTTATGGAGTTTTGTTGTACGAGATTTTCACCATAGGTAACATCGAATGGATGTCTTTTGTTATATACCATGTTTAATTTAATATTGTATCTTGCTGAGTTAGACAAACGCAGTGAGCTTCCTCATGCAATCTCAAACTCCATCAAGTGACGCAGGTGGTGTTTCAGTGAAGGTCGTTTTTTTAGTACATTTATATTTTGATGGTCTTTTGGTTCTTCCAGGCGGTACACCTTACCCACGAATGGATGGAAGAAAAGTTGCAGACCTACTTCAGGATGGATACAGGATGCCTAAACCACAACATGTGGATGAAAACTTGTAAGTTTTATTTTTATACTCGTTATCTCTCATCGTACAAGGAAACGTTCTTTAAATCTCAAACAGATCATTTGAACAATACCAGGTATGAGATCATGATGCAATGCTGGAAGAATGACCCACACGCAAGACCAACCTTCACTGAATTGAAAAATCAGCTCAAGGACATGGAAACCCAACACAAGGTGAGAATTTTGATCAACATGAAAATTTTGTTTTTCACGTAGGACCGACTGGCTTAGGCTCGGCTAATTAGGATTTAAACTAAACATCATTGAGCCTTGAAAGGGTAGTAGTAGGTACTCACCCTTGTAATTTTTACGAAGTTTGGATTGCATCTTTTTGTTATGTCACTGAAGCTAGCACTCCACGAAAAAACAGCGAAGAAGCGAACTACAATGTCTTAATGACAATTGACACTTGATGGTTATTTGAAAGATCATAAGATGATTGCATAATTTCATCGGGATGCAAAAAGTGCGGCGGACGACGACGCAATAAATACTTTCTCCTTGAATTTGTTTTGGTGTCAAAAGCTGACCATTTGTGAGGATAACCGCTTATAACGCAAGAGGCACACTTTTTTAATGATGCTTGTTATTGCATTATTTTTCTCTGCAGAAACTGATCAACATGAGAATGTACGACAAGCAGTTGTCTGCAAACGTCGAGGATTTAATAGTGTAGTTTACGGTGTATGACTGGCTAACAGTTTGAACACTTCGCGACAACAAGTTTCAGTTTGCCTTACACGCCTACTTACTCCAATTTAACTGGAACGTTTTAATCCAATTGATTTTATATTCTCAAACGCTGAAACGCTTTTAATACGTTTACCGATAAAGTATACTATAGTTTTCCCTTCCAGGTATTAAACACTTACACTTATGCTTGACACAAGCGTTTGTGTTCGGTTTATTTTCTGGCTCAATTCTGAAAGGCAGGACAGCGCGGAGAAAAATTCAATTTTCAATATTGACGAGATCTTGCTCTGAGTGCCATGGTTGTGTACAATTTGAGGAAATTGCCACTGAGTCGTCTTGGCTTTGAAAAAAGTGAATTCACTGAAAATTATATGTAAATTGTTGTAAGGTTTTTGCTATGTGAGACATGGCTTTCTGACCAGAGGTACAGGTCTGTTGATCATCAATAACATACACTTGTCAAACCGGGTGGTTTCTCCTTCCACTTCAGTTTCTGCTGAAACAACAGCTAGTTCTAACGGCGCAATATAAAAAGTGATGCAACCAAATGATGTCACAGTAATTGGACCTCCCGCCAAACTCAAAAGATCAAACCCTTAGCAATTTCATTGAATTGGTTTGGGTGTAACCAAACCCTAACTCTAAGTTTTGATCTTGATTAGGAATTTTAAGAATATTTAAGTCGTGCTTTTGCAGCAGAGGAATCGATTAAAACTGAGAGGTCGGATATATGCGAGACTAAACAATCGAAAACAGCGGTTGCGAAGGAGAGTATAGTAACTGTGACAGCAATGCAGTTTTTTTTCCTTTCTATTATTCAAACACTAGTGACAATAGAGCATGCAATACCTGTGTCGGACTTTATTTCAGATATATTGAAGGATTTTTCCCTCTCCATTAAACGATAATTTCGTTGCAATCTTTTGAAAGTTAATCCTTTTTTTCTTTTACAAAAATACAAACATCAGTTACCTAGTGACCCATCCCAACCCACCCGACCCCAAAGGTAACTCTTGCGTGCGTGGTATGCCTAATAAAATGTCTGTGGTAGCTTTGTTTAGCAGCTCTTTAATGACATCAACATAACTACCGAGCTGGTAAGACTGACTATTACCGTTAATAACAATGGTAGAAATAACATCTCACTTACACGAGCTGTTATTTTTAGACAAGGTCACAATTATAAGTAATATACTTTTCCAATAAAAGTGTCAAACTTACCTTGCGCTAAGCAATCATGTTTCAAGTACACACAAGATAATTTTGTCCGTGTCTCTAATACTCGCTCGACTATACTACCTTGTCGTACCCAACAGATGACATCTGTTTACGCGCTCGCGGAGGAGGTGTTTCAAATAATTGGGAAGGGTACAAATCAGGTAAGATTCGATCAGTGGCCTGGGTACGAACTGACTCAAACTTGGGTACGAAACGACAGGGTGCGGAAAGACTGGATACCCCACCCATATCATAGATTAATTTTGGTAATTTCGTCATTTTTACTCAATAAGAATCTAAGCATGGTTAAACTTGTAAACGTGATCCAATATTGTCCAAAATGTTTCTATATATTAAGTGGCTTACAGTACGCGCGGATTGATGGTAGGAAAATTGCCAAAACTTACTTCAACAGGGATCCAGAATGCCTTAACCACAAAATGGTGATGATAAATTGTAAGCACTAGAGTTTCTTTAGAAGGCTGACATTCCAATGAAACCTGAAAATGTTACTGTGCCTTTGATTCTATCACTTTTGAGGCACATTTGTAAGTAATTAAAAAAGCCTCAATCTATTGCATCTTTTTCTCCTTTAGTAATTGAATTCATTCCCCACTTTATGGAGATATTAACTGTTTAAAATTTGGAAGATATTTGCATATCGATTTGCATATCCACATTCGAGAGAGTAATAAGTTAAACAGTTTTTGTGCTAACGATGAATTCATCATCAAAACAACTGACGTGTTTCGTTTCAATTTGATTCAATTTACTATACGTATATCAAGTATCAATCTATGTTATATGAAACATTGATACAGCTGTATGACATAATGTTGAGATGCTGACAAGATGACCCGGGTACAAGACCAACGCTCCTCTTTGGTCTAAGAAAGCAGCTCAAAGCAATGGCAACATTACACAGGGTAAAATTTTTACATTCAGTTAAATCATGTGGGGTCATAAAATATGTCGAGTTATTCAAGATCAAAGTGATCGAAGTGATCATGATAAACTCGGCAACTAAGTGCCTTTGCTCTCCATCAAGTTGGTTAATCAGCCAACTAAGTACAACTGAAGACCTCCTTAGCTGCCAAGTGTTTGAGCATTTTAGATAAGGTCATGCAGAAATAAAGAATTCTTAATGGACATAAGAGAAATCTTCTTATACTTTTCTTTCGTCCCCAGAGGCTGATCAGCATGAAAATCTACGACAAACAGTTGTGCGCAAATGTTGAAGATTTGGTAGAGAAGGCGATGACAATTTGTCAGCATTTCAGAAAGGAAATTATTCTCCCCTCTTCAGCTAACGTTCCGAAAAAATTAAGATCAAAAAGCGATGAATTCCAAAGCTAATATGGGTGAACTACTCACCCTGTAGCAGTTAGTTTTATTAATTTTGTGTTCCTTTCAATTCAGTTGTGATATAAACTAGGCGTTTACATGACCAAAACAAAACATAATAAACAAAAATAAAAATGAGAAAAATTTGTCAAGCTGACAGGTATTTTTACGCTGTCAAAGTTCCTTTGAAACTGTGAATAGGGCATGTAAATGTAATTTGGAGGTGGTTATCTTTATTATCATAATCATCAATATCAATATGACTATTGTTATTATCATCAAAATCATTATTCACATTAGTATTTTTTTTATTTTTATATTTGTAAGAATTACAATTTCCTCTATTGTGATGGGTTTAAGAAACTCCTATTTTCCACTAATTTCCACTAATTCACTTGCCAGGTTGTTATTGGACAGTTTGTTATCAGGCAGTTCAGCAAGCCACTCCCATTTAAAGTTGTAGTTTAAATAAAACAATCGCAATCAAAGTTGAAGTTTAAATCGACCAATCACAACCATTCAACAATTTACGCCTCCTTTATCAGTCTTTTTAATGCATATTTTCCCTTTCTTTCATAACCTGGAAATTCTTTTTTTTTTCGGAATTTGTAACTTTTATGATTAATTACTCGCGATAAGCAAATCGAACTCCATGCGGTCGTCCGATTGTGTTATCACTCGTATTATTACAGACCGAATTGGTCTCCACTTAGTCCTATTACCGTTATTTTTCAAGATCATTGTCCAAATAAATACTCAGATTTTTCTAATTATCAAGATTTTTTAAACTCACATTTTCCTCTTACCATGCAGGTAGTTCAAATCCCGTACATGCCTGTTTTTTTCAGGACGTATTTTCACTACTACTTAAGTAGTGTTCATAACTGTGAGGATCGCTTCCACATTCGAAATAACAAACACTTGTATTAGCATCAAATTATTCGAATAACTTGGCCGTTTTGGATAGTAGCTTTAAAGAAAAACTCGATAACCAAATTTTCAGAGGATGCATAATGGTGACTATCACCGGTAAATACTAAACCAGTTCTATATTTGAAGCAGTTCTACATGAACAAAGCTTGTCACCAAGAAATCATTTCTATTTTCTTCTTTACTCCCAAACTTTCCAGTTTTAATCTTTGAAAAATTGCGTTGATCCATGAATGTTGCCTGCCATAAAGACCTTTTCTTCAAAATATTTCTTCCATAATTCAGGCCCTGGTGAACCGGTTTTCGGTGGAGTACGAAGAGAAAAATAGCAAAGTAATCGAACGTTTTCTGTTTCTCATATTTTAGCTATTGAAGTTCTGTAGTGCTTATTTTTTTCCATTTTTTTAGAAAAAGAAAAAAAAAAAAGAAAATTTAAGTGTCTCCCAAAATCAAAATAAAGAGTAGATTTAATTTGCAATTTTTATGTAATGCCACAGTAGAAAGTTTTTAGATCTCCCTCCCCTCTTGGTGTTACAACAAATTCAGGGTCAGCAGTTTATTTGCCGATTAGGCTTCAGTCCCCGCGCCCGTATGTATATATTTAAATTCTCGCGCGAAAAGAACAGTACGTTACACTGGGTAAAATGCCAAATTTTAGTGTCATTTAAGTAAAATTAAACAACTATTAAACCCAAAGACAAATTTAAGCCATGTTTACTAAACTTAAACATGACTTAAAAATGTACCTTTGTTTAGGCGAGGTTTAAGCATTCTTAAATGCAAATTAAATCGACATTGAGATTTAAGCTATGTTTAAGTCATTTTAACCGTACTTAAATCCTTTGAAGGATTTAGGGTTACTTTAAATCACCTTAAATCTAACGTTAAACCTATTGGGGAGATTTAAGGTCTAGTTAAAGGAGCCTTAAATACAACATTAAATTTATCATAATATTTATGCCGTGTTTAAGGACCTTAAAAACGCATCAAATCTTTTGGTGTACACCAAGTCTACTTTATTGACATAATCTCTCACCAGAACCAGAAACCATACGAGAGCAGCCTCCAGCAACCTTCAATGAATTAATCATAGATTAATATTAATATTATGTATTTAGTAAAGCCACAATATTTTACGCTACTGATTTTATTGCTTTTTCAATTCTTTGGGTAATGAAACTGTGTTTGTTGATTGTGAACAAGAGACTTGATTTCTTGTGTTGGAAACTGTTTCACTAAAGGAAGGTGGTTGCACAGGGAATTTGACTAACCTGAGCAAATAAGGTACATTTCTTCAAAACCATATAATTTTAGTATATACCAAACCAGTGGACAGTGTTTTTTGCATGCTCTGATTGGCTACTCAAACTCAGGATAGTACATGCATGTGCTATCCACTTCCCAGCTTAAGCTGAAGTGTGAAAAACTTTTTTTTGCAGTGTTCTGAGATATAAATTTATAATTCTTTTATCTCACTGGTTTGGTATATAC